GCCATTTTAAAGATTTCGTATAATACCTTGCACAAATACATGTGATAAAACTATTTCCCCATTCAGAACAGTGCCCAGTAGAGCTGGCAAGTCAGTAACTGTGGTTCCCCCATCTTGCCCCTTCCCTAGCAAGCTCACTTTCCACCTGCCCTGTAATTCCCTTCCCTGTTCTCTTTTATGTGTTTACGTGCCTGTCTCTTCCATTGGAATCAGTTTTTCAACAGCAGCGCTATGACAGTTTGGACAGAATCATTCTTTGCTGTGGAGACTGTCCTGTGCATAGTAGAAGGGTTAGCAGCACCTGAGTCTCCACCCACTAGATGCCAGTAGCACCTTCCAAGCTGTGACAATCAAAAATATCTCCCGAGATTGTCAAATGTCCTCTGAAGGACAAAATCACCTCAATTGAAAACCGCTGCACTAGAGTAATGGCTGTCAAACTTTTTGGAACAAGACCTGCAATAAGAAACATTTTGTATATGTATAAACACATACAGTATGTGAAATAACTTCATTAAATCATTGTTACCCTTACAGTGTCCCACTCTGATATGTTCTATTCTGTTTAAAAAACACAGTGACTAGACTGAGCCTCCATAAGAATAGTAAACATATCTGTTTCATCTTTGCACTCACAGTACCTAAGCAAATTGTGTGGCACACAAGAGGAACACAAATACTTGTTAAATTGCAATGAATCACTCTATTGCCTGCTTGTCCAGATATCTTAACCTGGCGTTAGCAAGACAGAACAGATAACAGGGATGAGACCCCAGCTTCTCCCAGGAAGATTTGGCAAAATACTCTTTATTTAGAAGCAGGGGCAGTGGCGGGACCTAGGGATGACTGGGGGCTTGTCACCTAAGCAACAAGAAGAGCAAGGAGCCTAGTTTTATGCCCTCAAGCCTGGGAGGACGTGGCCAGGGCTCCACAAGGCCCTGGAGTTGGGGGAGCGGGATGCTGGCAGGAGACCAGGTTCACCCTCCTCTTGAGGAAGCAGCCACTACCCCCAGGAAGCAGCAGATGGGGGCGCACAGGCAGAGCCCCTGGTGCTGTAGAGCATGATCAGCAGATCTGCACTCAGCCTCAGCCCGGGGGAGCTGCAAGACAGACTGAGACCATGATAGGTTTGGCTCTACGTCCCCACCCAAATCTCATCTGGAATTGTAATCCTCGTGGGTCAAAGGAGGAACCTGGTGGGAGGGGATTGGATCTGGGGACAGTTTCCCCCGTGCTGCTCCCCTGATAGTGAGGGAGTTCTCAGGAGAGCTGATGGTTTCAAAGTGTGGCACTTCCTCGTTCTCCACTCACTCCCTCCTGCCGCCTTGTGAAGAAGGTGCCTGCTTCTCCTTTGCCTTCTGCCATGATTATAAGTTTCCTGAACTACGAGTCAATTAAGTCTCTTTCCTTTGTAAATTACCCAGTCTCAGGTATTTCTTTATAGCAGTGTGAAAATAAATTAATCCAGACCCCTTCCCTGAAATGCCTTCCTAGGGCCACTAGCTGCCCCGATGCTCCTCCTCTGCCCCCCAGTCTTTCTTTCCCCCTCATTAGGCCCAAATGATCCACATGGCCAGTCCCAGTCCCATCCTACTGCAGGCCTGTGTGGCTGCTGGAGAGGCCAGGCTCCTTTCCTCAACCAGAGGATGCCTGATATGCTCTGTGGATCCTGGAGGAAACTTACCCCCTATCCTCATGCTGGTGCAACTTCTTCCAAGACCTCAAAGCTGGACAATGTCAGCCGGTCTTTTTTCTTGTCTCCACTTGCTAGGGCTGTCACTGGGACAGTCCTGGGGTGGGGAGTGGGGCGGTGGGGCAATGGATGAATGAGATGGATGAGTGGACAGTAGTCCAGGGATGATGTCCTTGTCTGTCCTGAACTGGGCCCTTCCTCCAATGAGAAGCCTTCCAGAGTAAGTTTATACAGTCGTCCCTTGGTATCTATGGAGGATTAGTTCTAGGGTCCCCGGGGATGCCAAAATCCATGGACCAAGTCTCTGATATAACATGGCCAAGTGTTTTTTATTTTTATTTTTTGAGATGGAGTTTCACCCTTGTTGCCCAGGCTGGAGTGCAATGGTGCAATCTCGGCTCACTGCAACCTTCGCCTCCTGGGTTCAAGCAATTCTCCTGCCTCAGCCTCCCGAGTAGCTGGGATTACAGGTATGTGCCACCACACCCAGCTAATTTTGTATTTTTAGTAGAGACAGGGTTTCTCCATGTTGGTCAGGCTGGTCTCTAACTACTGACCTCAGGTGATCCGCCTGCCTCGGCCTCCCAAAGTGCTGGGATTACAGGTGTAAGCCACCACACCCAGCCTAACACGGCCTAGTGTTTATATATAACCTATGCACATCCTCCCATATACATTAGACCATCTCTAGATTACTTATGATACACAATACAACGCAGACGCTATGTAAATGGTTGTGATACTGTATTATTTAGGGAATGATGACAAGAACAAAGTCTGCACATATTCAGTAGAGACACAGTCATCCAATTTCTTTTCTGAATATTTTCCATCTGCTGTTGGCTGAATCCACAGAGGCAGAGTTCTCAGATATGAGGGCCAAGTATGCTTTGAAAGTAGGATGGGTGAGGTTGCTAATGAGTACAAGGGAGTAAGTGTCAATCAGGAGAGCCCTGCATTGGGTCATCTGGATGCCCTAGCTCAGGACTTGAGGCTCCAGGTTTGGATGGCACAGGCAGGCTCAGCCCAGGTGAAAACCCTCCCCTTGAATGTCTTTTCATCCCAAGCTCTTTCTGGCCCCTGGAATTTGGCATCCCCTAGGATGCCTTGGGTGGAAGGACAGATGAACCAGATTTTAGAAAACATGTCTAGAAGAGTGAGCCCCTACCATGTGCTGGGCACTTTCCCCACAGGATCCTCTAGCTGGAATAACCAAGGGTCATGGAGAGAAATACCCAGTTAAAATATCAGAAATAAAAAAAGAGATACCATTAGAGATACTGAAAAGACCATTAGAGATACTAAAAAGACCATTAGAGATACTAAAAAGATCATTAGGTAATAGTATTAGCATTTTTATTCTGAGATTCAACAGCAGCAGTCACTTCCCTCCACCCCTATGTGTATCCCAGGACCACCCTGGGCGGGGAGGGCTGAGGTCAGGGAGTACCCATGGATGCTCTCATGCTGGCCCTGAGCCCCAAGGGTGACAGTGACAAGGAATGGGGTGCACACATGAGTGAGGCAGCCAGGCCTGGCCAGAGAAGCAACAGACGCATGCATGGACGTGTTTACCTACATACACATGTGCACACACGTGCGCAAACACATGGCACGCAAGCATGATGATGCCTCAGGCAGTGGAGGATGCTGACTCTGGGCCCTGCTGACCCGGGCAGGGCCCCATTGTGATGCATGCCTTTACCTCAGAATGTCACTGGTGCTTAACACCCGTCCGATCTCCGGCCTACCTCTGTGTTCTACAGCAGCTACACACACACAGTGGTATCTGGAGCAGCTCTGTGGACTCAAAGGTTTTCTCCCTGAGAGGCATAACACAGGCCAGCTGATTCATCAGAATCAGGTGAGTGTGACCTGCTCTCTTCCCTCCATGCTGACTTGGGGACAGTGGCTATGGTATGGGTGGTGCTGGCCTCTGGGCACCTGCCAAGGAGGGTCATCCCTGAGCACTCACCAGGTGTCTATTCTATGCTGCCCATGTAGACAATTGTCTCTTTCATCCTCATGGTGGCTCCCAGATGTAACCATTAGAAAGACGAGACGTCTGGGGTCAGAGAGGCGGTAACCAGCCTGGGAATCCCGACATGACCCTGGGTTTTGCTCTTGGCCCTGCCCTGTGCCATGCTGGACTTCAGGCCTGAACCCTGCAGGCCCCCTGCCCTAGATCCGAAATCTGTCCGGGGTTTCTGATCCCGATGGGGCAGAGCCTCGCCCTGGCAGAGCCACTGGGATGGATCCACTGTGGGTGAGGTAGAGGGGAGGGTCCTCAGAACACGTCTGTGGCCTAAGCTGGGTCCTGATGGTCCCTGTGGGACCCACTGGGCACACACGGTCCCTTGTCCGGGAGTGGTATGGGGAGCCTTCTGCCTTTGAGCAGTTGTGGAAAATGAAGGAGCCCTGGAGAACTGACTGGAGGGAGACTATCCTCCCTTCTGTTCAAAGGGGTCCGGGTTCTGGGGTTCTCCCCAAGTATTTCTTTCTCTGGTCCTCTGGAGCCTCACCCTCCTTTAGTCCCGAGTGTTCCCAGGAGGGACAGTCCATCTAGGTGTTCTCCAGGACCAAGGACCCACTGTTCTTCCTCAGTGACCCACGAAAATGAAGCCCCTTCCTGTAGGGACAGCTCAGAGTGGTGGAGTCCACGGTCCCTCCCCGAGAGATGTGGCTTCCATGAGCACAGAGGCTGCTTTGGAGACAGTATATTATTTTCATCCCCCAAACCAAACACCCTCCTGCTCAACTGGTGTTGTTCCTAAAGTGGCTTCACTGATGAGACTGAAGAGCCACAATAGCCCAAGTGATGAGTGGAGCAGAACCGAGCAGTCAGGAGAGATCTTGTTCCCTGCAGGAAACTGGGCATCTCTGTGGTGCCTGAGCATCCCAGGAGGTCAATTGTACAGAGACCTCTGGGCCCTCTCCCCAGTCTGCCTCCACATCCCTGGAATAGCCCCTCATGGGCCCTTCAACCTTGGCAGGTGGACATCATTCAATCTGCCAGGGCAGGTGTGTACCCGTTTCATGGCATTTGGGGACAACAGGCTTCTCTGTCCAGGTCCCACTGTTCTCAAGTCCTTGGGAAGATTCCCACCTCTGCTTGGGGCTTGAGACTGCCGAGACCCATGCAGGTGTGGGCCACTGGGTAAAAGGTCTGGCCCCTTTTCACCTGAGGGCAGTGGTGGAATAGGGGGTTACGCAGCCAGGCAGCATCTGGGAGCTGGGTGGAAGCGGTTCAGGTGTTCTCTGGAGGTCTCACGTACAGTGTAACATTTAGACGATTTTGTCTCACAGGATGGACATGGTAGAGGACGCAGATACTTTGCAGGAGTGAGAGGACATCATTATGAAGTATGAGAAGGTACATGTCTGTCTGCTCCTTGGAGGAAAGCCTCTTCCAGTGCGCCCTGGTCAAAGGGTCCTGGGCTCCCTAGGAGCACAGGGTGGGGACGAGTGGCCAGTACCCCCAGGCCCTTTCACCCTTTACCTTGAACCCCTCACCAAGGCTCCCTCTGGGTTGCAGGGACACCGAACTGGGCTGCCAGAGGACATGGGGCCTGAGCCTGTTGGAATTCCTGCAGCACTGATCGCTTTAGGATTCTGCAGTGAGTCCTCTGTGCTCCCCTCACCCCTAAAGCACCGGACTCAGCTCAGGGACGGGTTTGCTTTTAGAAAGGACTTTCTGAGTCAGGACATGTCTCACCAGGTCGGGCCAACCTCCTTTCCAGGGTCAGAACTCCTCCCTGGCTCCCCTGCAGGTCCAGCCCCAGGTTGCTGTTAGGCCAGAGGTGCGGGGCCCATCTAGGGAGCGGGGGGGAATGGAAGGGGGCTAGGTCAGGCCCCTGGACTCTCAGCAGTTCTGCCCCAAGTCAGCACAAGAGGAGCGGGGCAGCCTGAGGGTCTGGCCCTGTCCACTTGGAGGCAACCCCAGTGAGATCCAAGGGTTGTGGCCACAGGGTGAGGGGATGCCTGGCCCAGCCTCGGGGCTATTGTCCAGCAGGTCTCTGGTCTCTGAGAGCCCACCTGCCCCTGTTCTCTCCCATTTCCCTAGAGCTACAGCCCTCACTGTCCCCATGGGGAAGGGGTAAAGGCATGGGGACAGTGGGGGCTGTGGCCTTAGGGGAATGGGGGAGAAGATGGGCAGGGCCTCGTTCTGGGCATCTCACCGTGAGGCCAGGGAGGCAGCAGATCTTGAGGCTAATGACCCTGGGTCTGGTGCTGGGAAGGGATCTGGGGCCAGGTAAGAGGAGCCCAGGCTGAATCCCATCCCTCAGGGATCATAGAATGGAGAGACAGAGGATCCCGGGGGAGGTAGGGTGGGAGGGAGCTGATGAGCCGTGCCACTTCTGAAACGCAGTGTGTGTGGCTTGGGTGCAGGGAGAGGCAGGTGGATGCTGGGAGGTCAAACCCTGCAAGGGCCTTGGGAGTGTCGGGCGGGATGGGCCTTCGGTGCAACCTGGGTGCACCGGGCAGGTCACAGGCCAGGCTCCCTAGACCCCGGCAGGTCCACATCACATGGTCACTCCCAGAGGGACTCCTGTCAGGGCCCAGTCACCGCATCCCATCTCAGGGCTGACCTTTCTCAGCTCAAGCACAAAGCATTACTTCCAGTCCAGGAGGGGTAGCCCCCATTTTACACCCTGACCGCCCCCCACACCAGGGGCCCCCATTAGCCTCGGCCAGGCTGGCCCTGCACTCCCTCTTTTCCCAGGTCCTGGACCCTCCTGGGAGTCAGCCGCACAGAAAGGCCCTTGTCCTTCCTTCCCTGTGCCTTCTCCTGGGCTGAGCCCTGAGTTGGATGGGGACAGAGCCAGTCCTTTCTGGGGATTGGCTCCCAGACCAGGATGGCTCCAGGCCCTGTGCAGGTTCTCAGCTCTGCCTGGACTGCAATACAGTGAGACGGAACTGCCCTGTCAGTGCCCGGGAGGCAAAGGTAAGAGCCTGATCCTTGGGGGTGCTGGTCCAGGGACAGGGGGACTCGGCAAGTGGTCAGTGAGGCAGAGGAAGCAGCGGGCCTGGGTGGTAGCAGGTGGGGGCAACACGCTGTCACTGGGAGGGGCAGCTGTCCCTGCTGGACCTGACCCCAGTTTGCTGTATCTCTGGCAGTTTGATGAAATTCCAAAGTGAGAACCACAGTTGTGGCTTGGGGGTGGCTGCCCACTTGTGTTAGGACCCCACCTAGAGGCTGGGACCTGACCTAAGACTGGTGTGTCTGTGGCCTGAGGATGGCACGTCCCAGGGTCCCAAAGCCAGCCCACTGGCACTCGTGTGCTCAAAGGCCCTCAGCCCTTAGGGTCTGCCCTTCCCTGGCTCCCTCCAGCTGGGTCCACCAGGGCTCCAGAGCCCAAGACCCAGCATCCACAGGCGGCTCTGGGAAGCCTGGCAGCTCCGCTAACTCCAATATTCCTCATTTAACAGCGAATGCAGTGGGAGATGAGATGAAAGAGCAAGTGGATGGAAATGCTGGGAGAATGGGAGACATATCAGAACAGCAAAAAAGTAATGTGTGGAGGGACAGGTCCCTGGAACCACTCTCTGCAGAGACAGGGACAGGCACCCATGGCTGTGGCCTGGCACCGGTAGCCTCTCAGAGGGCGGGTGTCTTCACCCAGAGGACCACAGGCCTGCTTGTGCAAGTGTCACCTTGCTGAGAGGGAATCTGAATCTAGGGCTAGGGCCACCCCTAGCTCAGGGCTATGGATGCCTACTGGTGACCCAAAAGAAGGAAAAGGTCCAGATCAGAGTTCTCAGGACTCTGAGTGCCCATCTACTCTTCCAATCCTGGGAAGGGAGACCCTGTCCCAGCTTGATTTCACCTCTACCGAGGAATCATGGGGCCAAAACCAAAGATTTCCAGGATCCTCAGGCTTTGGTCCTGGCTGGGGTCGCCCCGTGGCCTGTGACACCAGATCACTTTCTGCCCACAGCTGATTGATCGAGTGTATAAGGGCATTCCCATGAACGTCTGGGGACAAGTGTGGTCAGTCCTCCTGAACATCCAGGAAGTCAAGACGAAAACCCCCTAAAATACAAGGTACACTAAGCCAGAGCACAACAAACAGGCCAGGCTGGGTCAGGACCCAGTTCTCCAACTGCAGGGAACGTCATGCCCAGGCTTGGGGAGTGGGTGCAGTGGTCAGATGCTCATCCTAAGCACGGACAGTGACATAGGAACCACAGACCTCCCCAGCTTCAGAAACAAGCCAAAAAGCAGCTTTCTGCGGAAGGAAACCTTTCTTTCCTTCCTTCCTTCCAAAAGTGCTGACTGTGGGCTGACTGCCATTTGGGGCAGGGAGTCTTCCATCTGTTCTGAGACTGTTTCCTCCTCTTGGCCCTGCCCTACAGGTCATGAAGGAGAAGGGCAAGAGATCCTCTGAACACATCCACCAGATCGACCTGGACGTGAACTGGACACTGAGAAACCACATCTTCTTCAGGGATCGATATGGAACCAAGTAAGCCTATGGGAGCCATAGTGTCCCAGCAGTGATGGAGTGAACCAGAGGGATGGGGACTTCCCCGGAGCAGAAGCCAGGGTCACTCATGAGGGATGACAGAGCTCTCAAGAGCTCTCATGGCCCGGGGAACAGCCGGCACCATGGATGGAGCACCTCCCAGGTTCCAAGCCCCAGGCCAGGCTGGAACGTGTGGGGCCAGAACCCAGGGGAATCCTGCAGAGACAGAAGGCAGCAAAGAAAATCATGCACAATGGTGAAAGGTGCTCTCCCTGACCCACGGGGACCCATGGCAGGACCCACGGGAGGGTGGCAGGATGGAGGCCCCATGAGCCTCCCCAGGCAACACTGACAGCACCAAATGCTGGGGGAATTCAGGTTCCTGGAAACTCTCATCCAGGTCTGCTGGGAACATGACATGGCACAGCCACTTTGGCAGCCAGTTGGGCAGTGGCTCACAAAGCTCAATGGACTTGAACCAAGCGTCACCAAAGTGTCACAGATATTGAACCCACTGATTTGAAAACTGACATCCACAGGAAACCTTCATGCCACGTACACTGCTTGATTCATCATCACTCATACACAGAGCCTTAGGGAACGACCTTCAACATGGGAATGCGGAGAGGAAGGCTGGTCCTTTCAAGAGTAGAAGACTCAGTGAGAAAAGGGAATGAGCCAGTGATGCCTGCACGAACATGGGTGAATCCTAGATGCATTTTGCTAAGGGAAAGAAGCCAGACCCAATAAGCTACCACTGTAGGATTCCAAACGTCGGCCATTTTGGAAAAGGCCAAACCATAGGGACTGAGAACCAGTCTGAGTGGCCAGGGGCTGACGGACTGGGGAGAGGCTGGGTGCATAGGGGCCACCCTGGAGACTTGGAGGATGAAGGAGTTGCTCCAGGAGAGGCTGGAGCGGTGGCCGGGAGACTCTGCACATTGGTTTAGAACCACGGAGGAACTGTACACCCAAAGACTGAACTGGCATGCGTACAAACCAAAAAAAAAAAAAAAAATCAGAGGGAAATGATCAACTTACTGTACAATTGGACTATTAGCATTTCACAGATGTGGATTTTACTGAAACATTTCTTAAATAGTCAAAGGCCCTGAAGAGCTCACTGCTTATCTGGTGAATCACCTGAACCTGAAATTGGATTTGTTGTTAGGCTTTGTAGACAAAGTGAAACTAACATCTGCACAAAAGAAACAAAAGCCCCCTTTATCTGTTTTTTAGGCAGCGGGAACTATTCTACATCCTCCTGGCATATTCAGCGTATAACCCGGTGAGTATTCCCGGCAGTGACCATATTCCCATATTCACGGCTATATTCCCAGACCATATTTCCATATTCCTGGGTGTGGATGTCTGGTGGGGGTATCATTGCTTCTTTCAAAGTTAGTATTTGTGACCCCCGGGGATATAGGAGGTAGGACTTCAGCTCACCGCTGGCATAAACCTCCAAGCAAGGGGTTGGTCTCAAGGGGTCACACTGAGACACAAAGGAGTCGGGCATGGACTCCTGGTGTTACCTGGGCCTGACCACCACTTCTTGGAACAAGAAATGATGCCCTCCTCCTGGGACTGCCCCAAAGCCCAGGAGCTTGGCAGCATCACACGCAGGACGGTGCTATCAGGAGACATTTTGGACAAGGTGCTGAAAGGCCCGATGGACATAGCTCTTGTCATAAAATGAATTTGTGTCCTGAGGAAGCCTCTTCTTCAGAGGAAGCCTCCCCAGTCACCTCTGCCTTCTCTGATGACATGAATCCTCCCAGGTGACCTCAGTCCTCCCAGGTGACCTCAGCCCTCCCAGGTGATGTCCTTCCACAGTGACTGGCTCTTGCAGGAGGTGGGCTACTGCAGGGACCTGAGCCACGTCGCTGCCTTGTTCCTCCTTTATCTGCCTGAGGAGGATGCATTCTGGGCACTGGTGCAGCTGCTGGCCAGTGAGAGGCACTCCCTGCAGGGTAGGTGGACAGCTGCCCCCAGGGCCTCAGGCAGTCAGACCCGGGAATGGCCACCCTGGCCAGGTGATCTCGGCTTTCAGTGAAGACACCTTCCTTGTGTCACCAGCTTTTTGGGAGCCTTTAGGATGTATCTGCCTCACACAGTCAGACCCCGGGACAGCCAACCTGGACAGGTGATCTCGGCTTTCAACGAAGACACCTTCCTTGTGTCACCAGCTTGTTGGGTGCCTTTAGGATGTCTCTGCTGAGGGTCCTCAGGAGCCCAGGGCTGAGCTCCAGAACCCAAGTCAGACACCTTTCATCCCCATCAGCGGAGGGCATCTCATCCTCCCTGTGGCTGCCCTCTGTGTCCTGGTGCCACGCCCTCCGGCTCTGATTCTGTGCAGCTGACTCTCCCCTCCCTGAGAGTCCTCCTGCCCTTCAGCTGCCCAGGCTCCAGCTTCCCTTGGTACCCACAAATGGGCCAACCAAGCCCAGATGGCAGCATCTCCCCATCCCATGTCCCCTGGCCTGACGCCACTTCCAGGAGGTGACCACGAAGCCCAGCACCCACCCTGTTCTGGCCGCCCTCTGTCATGGCCTCAAAGTCAGGCTTGCCCTTTGTGCACCCTGGTCCAGGAGGCCTCCAGGAGCACCTCCAGCCAGGCTCCAGGGGATGTTCCCACCTCTTCTCTCCAGGGCCAAGGCCACATGGTAGGGTCACCAGATGGGAGGGTGGGAGGCTTCGGGGTTTGGGGGGCTCTGCAGCTGCCCATCTCTTCCAGCTGATGGCTCCACATCTTGGGAGAAGGCTCTGATTTCATGATGGGCTGAGGGCTTCTCAGGATTCCACAGCCCAAATGGCGGGACAGTCCAGGGGCTCCAAGACCATCAGGAGCATGTGGTCCCCACGTCACAATCCAAGACCATGTGGCATCTGGTGAGTTTATGGTCCCCTCAGCTCTTCCCCAGAGGCCCTGCATCCTGTGGGGCTGGAGGAATGGGGGCTGGAGCCCCTCGTGGGGCTGGTGACTGCCTGAGTCCCAGCCAGGATCTGACCTGGGACGTCGGGTTCTCCATGGGCTGGGAGTTGGATTCCTTTCCTGCCCTGGAGGAGACAGAGGCGCAGGGATAGGGGCCCAGCTCCCGCAGAGCAGGGCTAAGGGCAGTGTGTCCACCGGGAGTGCCGGAAGGTGAAGATGTTGGGGGGAGCCCGGGACACCACCCAGTGTTCTGCACTTGGGGAAGGATCTTCAGAGGATCTTCACCTCTGTTCCTCCCATCAGGACAAGGAAGGTCTGTGCGCACAGTGTTCCTCATTCAGCTGGCTTCTCTGGATGCTGAATATTGGGGTAAGGAGGCACAGGGAGACCCTGGCTCAGGGACCCTCCTTGCCCTGCAGTGCCCTGCTTCCCCAGCCGGGGGGTCCGGCTCACCCACAGCCCACAGGAGGCTCAGGCGGATCCCCACAGGACATACAAGCAAGACCCTCTGCCCAAGAGGGGTCATCCCAGGGCAGAGGCCAGGGCTCAAACTCAGCCTCATGGACAGACCCGGCCCGATTTGGGAGGGCTCAGGGGAGCCTCAAGCCCTGAGGAAGCCCCTGTCTCCACTGAAATGAGTGCCTCCCATAAGGAGCTGCAAGACCTTGCTTGACCTAGCCTCCTGGAGGGGTCGGGTGACCCTCATGGGGAAGGTCACCGACTCTGGTCACTGTGCCCCAGTGTGCAGCTTGAGCCACCAGCCCTGGCCTGGAAGAGCCAGGTCCTCCCGTGTCTACTTTCCCCACAGATCTTTCTCGGGCTCATCCTGCGCCTGTGGGACATATATTTGCTGGAAGGGGAACAGATGTTGATGCCGATAACAAGCACTGCCTTTAAGGTTCAGAGGAGTAAGTCCACATGTGCCCAATGGGATCTGGGGAGCACTGGGGTCAAACTCCAACTAGCCCAAGGGCAACTTCCTCACACTGTCCTCATGATCCTCTGTTCTGGCCCAGAGGGAGGTCTGGCCAGGTGGGCTGGGCGGGGCACAGTGACACCGAGCCTATCCCTCACACGACCCAGATGAAAGTCAGGAGTGTGGTGAGCACTTCCCTACCCAGGCCGCTCCCGCAACCACAGCCTCCTGTGCACATCTGGACCCCTGGGGTGGTCACAAAAGGATCCGGCACTGCCCAGTGGGAGACTGAAGTGGCCATGGGGTGTGGGCTCTGACCCTTCCCAGGGGACTCTCCTGGCCTTATGCCCACCTTGTCTCTAGAGCGCCACATGAAGACGTCCAGGTCTGGCCTGTGGGCACGTTTTCGAGACCAGTTCTTCCATACCTGGGCCCTGGATGATGACACTGTTCTTAATCATCTTTGGGCCTCTATGAAGAAACTAACAAGGAAGCATGGGGACCTGCCACCCCCAGATGGGCTCCAGTACCAGGTCCCCTCCTGAGTCACCCTCTGGGGCAGTCATTACTAGGGGAGTGCCCAGGACCCCCAACCCTACTACCTGGGCCTTCCTCTTCACCTTTTCTTCCTCCTCTTCCTCCTGCACTCTGAGAAAGTACAGGAGGCCCACCGGTCCTCAGGGCAGGCGCTCAGTGCGTGTGTACTGGATGTGTTGTGCCCACAGGAGGGGGATGTGGGCAAGACCCTCCAACAAGCCCCCTCCCACTTTCCACGGTGGCCCGCTCTCCCCCTCACAGGGCCCTCAAGGGCACTAGACGAGCCAGACCCATTCCTGAGAGCCTCCGCCCCTCCCTGCAAGCGCTGACAGCCTCAGAGAGTAGCAGAGGCCCCTCACTCCTGCAGACCCCTCCATGGGTGCCAGTACAACAAGCCTTGAGCCAGGGAGACAAGGGAATCAGTGTCTCTGACCCCCAGAGCATTCAGGGAGAGGGCACAGGTGGGACCCTGGGCCCAGAGCCAGAGCCAAGAGTTCAGCCAGGTGTGGGAATGGTCAGCCCAGGACGGGGCGGCCCAGGAGGGCAGAGGGTGACCCACGTCCAGGCCCAGTCACCCACTGAGGAGACAGGTCCCCACATAAGGTGGCAAGGGGGCTGGGTGACAGCCAAGGCCCCTCCCATCTGAGTTCTGACTGGGGGCCATATCCCAGGCCCAACAGCCCTGGGACAAGGTTGTGTAGCAGGAAGCCCCCAACCAGGCTGAACCCTGGGGGCAGTCCCAGGAGCCACCTGCCATGCCCTGACAGCTTCCCCACACCAGGTGACACACGCCCCTTCCTCTGGGATCAGCAGACTATAGGAGTGTCCTCAGTGTCAGACCACGGGGGCCACACAGAGACCCTGAGGACTCCAGAGACCCAGGTAGGTGGGGCTTGCCTGGAAAGGCCTGCATGGGCTCACTGGAGACACTGACCACATCTGTTTTCCTTTCAACCAAACCCGAGCAAGGGTCCTCGGCACCCAGGTCTGTGCCAGCTTCGCGTGGCAGGAAGACCCTCTGCAACGGGGACAGGCAGGCCCTTCCCGGCCCACTAGCCCAGTTCCAGCAGCCCATTTGGTCAGCTTCCCTACCTCGTCCCACACCCTCTCCTAGTAGGGCTGTCCATGAGACCAAGGCCCAGGAACATGAGGGGGCTTCTGGGGAGCCCAGGGCAGCAGACCACTCTCTGGGGGCACCCAGGAGTCAGGATATGCCCAGCCTGGCCCCGGCTCAGGGAGGACTTTGGCGTTCCTGGAGATTCCTGGAGTGGAACTTGATGCCCCAGCTCCCGACAGACCTGGATGTGGGGGACCCTTGGTTCCCCCATGAGGATTTCAAACAGAGCTGCTGGGTCCATCTCCCTTCTGAATGTGTCCTGGGCAGCCACGGGACCATGGGACAGGCCTAGCCCAGGAAGTCCAGGGGGACCCTGACACTGGGCCCAGCCCAGGCCTATCAGGACTAAGAGGGAGGTCGGGAGATAACCCCACTGCAACATGGGCACCTGCATCTGGCCCTCTCGGTGACCAGTGACTGGCACATCTGGAAGGAGCCAGGGTGGCACCCCGCCAGCTGCCCCGCAGCCCTAGACACCTTGGAAAATCCCATTCAATGGGGAGGCCAGTCCCATCAAGGCCACGAGAGACAGAGAGGTGAGCATGGCAGCCCCAGCCAGCTAGCAGCATGCCCTGGGACCTCTGTCCCAACCTGTGGGCCTGTGTCCCCCTTCCAGGGCACAATTCCCAAGCCAAGAGGGGCCCAGCCTAGACCCCAGCCCTGGGAAGAGAGGGGCACCAGGGGTATAGTGGGCTCCCAGCTGCAGTCACTATGGCCATGCAGGGGACCCTGGCGCTGCAGAGCTCTGCCACTGTCGCAATTCACCTCACAGAAGCCGGGCAAGTCCCGAAGCCTTGCAGCCACTGCGGCAGCCACTGCAGGTGCCACCACCAGGTGCCTTCCAGCTGCCAGTGCAGGCTTTCCTGACGGGAGGGCACCCTGCAGCCCTGGCCTCAGCAGCTCAGACTCTGAAGGTATCTGTTATTCATGTTCCCAGTACTCTCACCAAAGAGAATTACTATGGAGGGTGACGTTGGTCCTGAGTTGAGCAAAACAGCATGCCCTGTGGATGGAGCCAGCTTCTTTCCAAGCCACCACACTTGCTGGATGGGCCCACGGAGCAGGTGGCCTTGAGACCGGCATGGGATGGAAGAGGCTCAGCATCCTGCACATGCCCTTACCAAGGCTCACCAGGCTGACACCGCTGCTGAGCACCACATTTGTGGATGAGAGACTCACACCTAGTCCCTGGGATGGCACAATTTCCCAGAGGATCTGCTGGCCACCTGCTGGCAGGTTGACCACACTGCGGAGGGGTTGAGATTGGCTTTCACTGCACTGAGCCACAATGTGGGCATGGACCTGTGGGCCCTGCAGTGCACACAGCACTGCCTCTGAGCAGGACCCCCCATTCACAGCTAGGGACAAGCAGTGCTCCCACCTCAGGGCCTTGGCTCTGCCACGTCTACTTTGAATGTTCTCAGTTCCCTCCAGGCTTCTAGCGGCATCTGGGCCAGGGCTCATGGCTGGATAAGCACCCGAGGTCCCAAACAAGTTTCTCATCCTCGTTTTATTTTTTGTTAAACTGATGAAAATGTATTAAGATATGACTTACGTCCCGGGTAAGTGCATAGCTCAAAAGACATTCAGAGATGGAACACACCAGCCCCCAGATCACAAAGCCAACCATGCCCAGCCCCTCCCAGCACTCCCAGCCCCAAAACCCGTGTTCTGACTTCTGACAACACCATGAGCCTACCTTTGTACTTTACACTCATGGAAGGATAACCACCTTCATGTTGTAAAATAAATGTTACTGTTGAAATGATTTTACACATACACCTTCCATCCAGCTGCCCCTAATTATGGCGTTTTGCAGTACCATGGCACATAAGAAATTTAGGCCGTGTGGTGGCTCATGCCTATAATCCCAGCAATTTGAGAGTTCGAGGCAGGAGGTTCAGGCTCATTTGAGCCCAGGAGTTTGAGACCAGCCTGGGAAACATAGGTAGACCCTTTCTCTACAGAAAAGTAAAAGAAATTAGCCAGGCATGGTGGCGTGTGCCTATAGTCCCACCTATTCAGGAGGCTGAGGTGGGAAGATTGCTTGAGTAATTGAGTTCCAGGAAGCAGGGAGCACTGCCCTCCAGCCTAAGTGACAGAGTGAGACTTTGTCTCCTATAAAAACAAAATAAGAAATTTAACATTGGTGCAATCCTATTAACTCAATGGTAATGTGAACTATTATCTAAGGTTATTAATGCAGTAATTATATGAATAGGGTGAACTTTATTCAGACTTCATCCGTTTTTGCCTAGCTTCTCATACCTGTCCAGGGATCCCACCTCTGACTCACCCTCTGCCTTTAGTTCGTGTCTCCTTAGCTTCCTCCAGGTGGTCCAGCCAAACACACACCTGGGCTGAATGGTAGAGCTGATTGCTCCTGGGCTCCAAACCTCTACAGCATGTTACCATGTTGAGTACTGTAGGCAATGGTAACATAATGGTGGCTATCTGTGTATCTAAACACAGAAAAAGATCATAAAAATACAGTGTAAACAATAAAAAATGGTACACCTGTCCAGGTGTGGTGGTTCATGCCTATAATCCCAGCACTCTGGGAAGCCATGGTGGGAGGATCACTTGGGCCCAGGAGTTCAAGACTAGTCTGGGCAACATAACATAATATTTAAGAAGGCCCCAGGCCGGGCGCGGTGGCTCAAGCCTGTAATCCCAGCACTTTGGGAGGCCGAGACGGGCGGATCACGAGGTCAGGAGATCGAGACCATCCTGGCCGACACGGTGAAACCCCATCTCTACTAAAAAATACAGAAAACTAGCCGGGCGAGGTGGCGGGCGCCTGTAATCCCAGCTACTCGGGAGGCTGAGGCAGGAGAATGGCGTGAACCCGGGAGGCGGAGCTTGCAGTGAGCTGAGATCTGGCCACTGCACTCCAGCCTGGGCGGCAGAGCGAGACTCCGTCTCCAAAAAAAAAAAAAATATTTAAGAAGGCCCCATCTCTTCTTAAATATCAATTTTTAGAGATGGTACACCTGTATAGGGTGGATCCATTATAACCTTATGGGAACCACCATCCTATATGCATTCTGGCATGGACTGAAATGTCGTTATCTGACACTGATTGCATAAGTAGAGATAATTTTAAGCATACAAGAAGATGTACTTAGGTTATATGCAAATACTGCACCAGTTTATATCAGGACTTTGGTATCTGTGGGAGATGGGGAAACTGATTCCCCACATACATTGAGGGGCAACTGTAAACATTTCAGGCCCCACAGAATGCTCAATTTCCTGCACACCCATCGCGAGGTAAATTCTATTACTGGAGATTAGTTTGCCTGATGATAACTTCATATAAATGGAATCACACATGATCTCTTCTTGTAGACCTATTCTTATAGGTCTAACTTCTGTCACTCACACATGAGCTGTGAGATTCATTCATATTGTAGCCACAATTTATTCATTTTCTTTGCTGTGTAGTATTCTAATCTTGAATGTCCCATGATTTTTTATTCATTCTTCTGTGATGGGTATTTGGGAAGTTTCTAGTGTGAGGCTATTACAAATTGTGCTGCTATGAGGGTTGTTTTACTTGTATTTTAGTGAAGGTATAGACACATCTGTGTAAGGTACACGTGCAGGAAGGAAATTGCTAGCTCATGGGAGGCAAATGTTTAGCTTTGGTGAATATTACCAATCATTCTAAAATGTTTGTTCCACTTCATCTGTTCATCCGTGAGTTGGAGCGTTCCATCCACAGCTTGGGCTGTCTCAGAAAGACCTGGGCTCAGTCCCATTCAGCCACTTAGTAGCTGTGTCCCTTTGGACAAACCATGTAACTTCTCTGAGCCTCAGGGTCCTCATCTGTAAACTGGGCTGCTGGCGGTCCTTACCTCGCAGGGCCACTGGGAGGACTAAGTGAGATGAAAGCCGACTCCGTGAGAGACACCACTTCTCCCTCCCTCAGACTCAACAGGAAGATACCTTCACTGCCTAATGCGAAGGCCATGGGGAGGACGCGAGGCCTCAGGGCTTCCCTGTCCCAGGAGCATAAGCCTCGGATTTTTGTTTCCAGAAACAACCACCCCTGGGGTCAGGATGACTCTCAAGTCCCCATAGCCTGTGCTCCCACTCCACGAAGGCGGGCTTCAGCAGTGGGGAAGGGGCTGCACTGTGCCAGCCTCACCCTGGCCACTGTCTGCCCTCATGACTCAGAGCACAGCAAGGTCCCCAAGCAGAGCAGTGTAGGGTCTGGCCCCAGCCCTGGGCTCTAGACATCACGGTCACCCCCACCTGCCCCAACCCTGCCCCCTCCATCCCTCAGCCTCTGCGTGCCACCTTCACAGCTCAGGACATTTTAGCTCCTTCCATGACACCATCATCTGTCTCCTCAAGCGGAGTGCAGCACAAGGGCAGTGAACTCAGTCAGTCTATAGATGTGTCTCTGGTGTCTGGAAGATGAGAAGTTCAATACATACTTGCTTAGTGTCTGCGTACATTTCATTAAGCAGAAGACAGCTTTGGAAATAAAAGAGACCCTCCCAAGGTGACAGTGCGTAGCCGGCATTTTCCAGGTATTCTCGGCATGCCAGGCACTGGGCTGGACCATCGACACGGGAGCTCTGGAGCCCATGGAGTGCCAGGTTACAGGCGTGAGTCACCGCGCCTGGTTGGAAGTATTGTTTATTTCTTTATTAAAATTTGTGCTTTCTGAGTTTATGTAATTGGCAGGTGTTGCCTTTGTGATCAGAAACAGTAAAGGTATAGAAAAAATGTGTAGACAAAAGCAGCAAAACCAATCACATCTATAATAAAATCCTCGCTTTTAAATAAAATGTGCAGAGAAGAAAGATGGAAAAGAAATGCAGTGGGCCGGGCATGGTGGCTCATGCTTGTAATCCCAGCACTTTGGGAGGCCACAGCGGGAGGATCACTCGAGGTCAGGAGTTTTAGACCAACATGGCCAATGTGGTGAAACCCCGTCTCTAATGAAAAAAAAAAATTAGCAGGGCATGTTGGTGGGCACCTATAATCCCAGCTACTCAGGAGGCTGAGGCAGGAGAATTGCTTGAACCTGGGAGGTGGAGGTTGCAGTGAGCCAAGATTGCACCACTGCATTCTAGCCTGGGCAACAGAGTGAGACTCTGTCTCAAAAGACAAAAACAAAAAAACCCTTAATAGTTGTGGTCTCTGAGGGCTGGGGATATCAGGAAACTTTGCTTTTCTGTCTAATTTTGTATATGCTCATCTTCAGATTTGAATGTACTCTATTAAATTCCCTTAGCAGCCTCCTCATTAGTCTCTCTGCCCCCATTCCTGCCTTTG